GAAGTTTAGGATTTTTTATTTTTACTAGGGAAAGATATTTGGATATTTCTTTGAAGATATTTGTAGTCCTACTAGCAAAAGTGCCCGTGCGTTGCAACGGATTGTTATTTTCATTCTTATGTTGTTAACACTTTCCTCACCCTCACAGTTCTGCCATTTTTGAATGAATCGTGGACGGCAATATGTATCGACACTCTCGACGATAATATGTATTTATCATGAAAGCACCTTACAGACATACGAGTTAGCCATCTATCTTTACCAGAATAGTCGTGCACGAGTCACAAGTGGTGTCGTCTTTCTTAGTCGTACAACAACTCTTCCTCTCCGTATGCACGGTCGCGCGGACAGGGACTGAGCTCGTTCATCCACAAAAGCTAATGTCATCCACAAAAGCTAGTGTGTCATAGTGTGTTGCTACAAAATATATTTTTTATTAGTTGTTTTTTGCTACTACAGACAATAGAATTGTTTACACCCAAAATTGGTAAGCTTTTTCTGGAAAGGAAGAGATCGGTCGATGATGTCAAGAGCAAGAAAGTTTCCTAATTAAAGGATATTTATGAGCCGACCAGAAAATATTATTTAATAAATTTGATAGAGACATGACGTCCAGGTGCATATCAGGATAAAAGAAATAAGGACACGTATCAAACAAGGAAGCTTTATCAGTAAGGATTCTGCATAAGGGAAATTAGAGTCCATGTATCTTGATATTTCTTTCTGTTATCTAGTCGTGTTCGTTTATGACTCTTATCAACCCAGGGTATAAATATAAACCCCCGGCTATTGTATGAGAACACACACAATCAATCAAATACAAGTTACTTACTTTTTTCGGCTCCGGCCGCCCTTTAGAAGTAGGAGTAGATTAGATCTCGACGAGTTCTTCAGCAAGTACGGCTGCATCGATCTGGTCGACCTCCACTGCTTGTCTATAAGTACCGTCATGGCTTATACCTCTGTTCGTACGGCTGCATCGATCCGGTCGATCTCCACTGGAAATCTGGTATAAGTTAGTTATCGACTCTTATATAGTTCAAGTAAGGCTGCATCGATCCGGTCGACCTCCACTGCTCGAACTAGATTAAGGTCAAGTTATCGGCTCTATCTAAGGGTGGCGTTCATTCGGATAGATTCATTAAGTTACCGATATTGCTTATTGCTTTCATTATTCATTTAATTACAGCAATATCACTTCGTCCGATTGGAATTGATCTAAATCGGCCTTATATCTTTTTTAACCCATCGTTTGTTAATCCAAATTTGATCTAACCTGCACTTTAAACGATGAGTTATGTTTTATCGGTTGTTTTATATCAATCTTCATCGTGCATAGCGTGCGATTAAGACGTGTCTGCTTTTGAGTATATCTATTGGCTAGCGAAAACTGTTCTATGGCCCGTTATCACGGCATGTGTGATTCTACCTCACACCCTACTGTTAGCACCGTGGAGTGGGGATCGTTATTTGGTAGATCTGTTCCTGAGAGGGCATGATCTTAACTGTGCGCTATGCCTGAATCGACTGTTTTAGCCGATATCAAGTGCTTTCACGAACAGTTCACGTCATGAGACCGTTGAAATAGCGATAGGTTGAAAGATGTGTTAGCCCCATGATCTTATTATTGTATTACGGCATGCATGATTCTGCCTCATGCCCCACTGATATTAGTAATAAGTTAGGTTCGTCGAGTCTATTGTTATTTCTACGGCCTGCATGATTCTGACTAATGCCACACTGGTCATAGTGATAGATGAGATCTAATATGTTCATTAGATTTATCTCTATTAAATGGTTGAATGATGATGAACTGTTTCTTTTATAAAAGGGGTTCGGTTACTTGCAGTCATTGGCTCAGTATAAGCTAATTATTGTTAATATATTGTTGTCATTGACCAATATTTGTCTAAAGAATGATATTCATCCTGAACGATAACCGATTCTTCTTACATAACCCCATGAGCTTTAACCGATTTATTCTTATGAATATGCTGGAATCGATTATTTAGTCGATCTCCTTTCATATCGGCTCTCAGAGCCGCACATTCAGGACTGTCCGGTAACACGGGGATGTTCCGCCCTAAATTACTGATAAACTTTCTCTCCTTGTCAATTGCAGGGTCAAATTGACTGACACGTCTCGGGAGGAGTGCGCGGGATCGACCACCCCTGCGCTGAAGCTAGACGGATCTCCAGCTCCATCGAGCGGACTCTTCCGGCTTGCTCTTGTGTCGTCGGCACGGGACGAAATTCCGTGTGGACAAGAATATTTTTTAATTCAAAATTAAGAATGTTTTTGCCTGTCTTGCATTTAAAAATATACGACAAATTTAGGGACCAAATTTACTTTTTTTTAACTCATCAGCCCTCCACTTCCTTTCTCTCTCTCCAAATGTGAGACCACCACGTGCGGCAGCAGGGTGGGCGGAGGTGGACGCAGCAGGTATGCACAGCCGGGTAGCGAAGGGTTCGGTTATGCTATCTCTAATACGCAGCGCATCGAAGGGTTCGCGAGCGGAGGGGCGCGTGCGGCTGGCACAGCCAAAAGAGTCCCGGCCTCCCGGCGTAGGCACAGTTGACGAGGCCCGGAACCTACATGGTTGTGCGGCGTTTCGAGGGCGTGGAGCCGACAAGGCGCGGGCATGGTGCGGCGCGCAGGAGGGCCAGTATAGCGGACTCTGAGGAGCGTCGTGCGAAGGCCGGCGAGGTGTGCTGCCGGAGAAAAGCGCGAACCCGGTAGTAGGGCGTGTTGCCGGCGAAACGCGTGAGTCCAGCAAGCTGGGCGCGTGGGTAGGCTCCGGAAAAAAACTGAGGAAATAAACCAATAGCTAAAAAACAAATTTCCTGTATATTTCCTTGTGTGTGCGAAGCAAAAATCCACCAAAATTCTTTCACCTATTTCGGTATTACACCCAACGCCAACTGAAGTGCTTGTTTCTTAACTCGATTGGCGTGTAGCTTTTGCATCCGCAACTCTCAGGTAGCGTTTGGTTAAGAGTCACGGTGAGATGGGATGGTTCTGTCTCTGATTTGTGGGACGGGATGATTTTATTTTCTATTTGATCGAGTAGAGATGGGACCCACCCAGTTTTCTGTTTGATTTGGAGACATTAAAAGTGGGATAACTGAATGTAAGATGGAGCCTATTTGTCAGTTTTTTTTCTTTTTTTCTCTCCTTATCCCTTCCATAGCTTTCCACGCAACCTCCCGTGACTCCTCCGCCCGAACGCGCAGCAGGTCCGGCTCGCCCGCTGGCGACTTGCAGCAGGGCAGCCCCGCGCCTCCTCCGCCAGAGCCCGGAAACGCGCTGCCCCGGGCTTCCTCCGCGCGGCGCCCTGAGCCTCCTCCGCCGGTGGGGTTGGAGCTCACGCGGCGACGGCAGGGCCGGCCCCCAGAGCTCGCCCTCCGTCGGCGACCTCGCCGTGCCTCCTCCGCAGCCCTCCACCCCGTGCCTCCTCTGCCCTCCACCCGCGTCTCCTCTGGCCCGCGCCTCCTCCGCCCCGTGCCCCGGCCCTACTCCGCCTGCGCCTCCTCCACTGGAGCTCGCCGGGGCCGGGCACGGCGGTGCGCGGCAAGGCCGCAGGCGAAGCTTGCCGGGACCGGTATAGGAATCGCTCGAGCGCGTGGCTCCTCTCTCTCTCTTCTCCGCGTCCAGTGCGGCTCCTCTCCGCGACCTCGTCCGCGTCCGGCACCTCCGTCGCTCGCTCGTCCCCCCTAGGATGGACCCCGTCCGTGAAATTTTAGGGGACGGGGTCGCCCCGCATCTCACACGAATATTCGCGTGGAGGACGTCCTGGCTCCACTTCGTCTCCGAACCAAACAGAGTTGATCCCGGGACCATCCTACCTAGTCCTCCCAACCAAACACACGGTCAGAGAAAGAACACAAAAGTACCATTTTTCCTCCTCCTCGGTACGGACAATGCAGCCGCACAGGTCTTGAACAGGATGAGAAAGGACCACAACACCTGCTTGGTTCGATCTCTACGGGACAGCTGAGATCAGAACTCCGGCTCCAACTTGGACTCAGCGTTGGACTCGAGCTGGCAGACGTCAAATTACAGATTGACGGCACCAAGGAAATTGCAGTTCGATTCCACTGCGATAGACAGCAGATCGGTCTATGCGTCGGCCGTCGGCGACGTGCAAACAGGAAATACTGACCGAGTTGCATACAATAGGCACAAGAAAACATGCTCGTATGTTTCGATGAGATCCGGTATATATTAGAATCGGACTCCGCATCATTGCTAGATGTAGGTTATTCTAACACATATGGGCACGGCTTATGAGTCCGGTCACATGCACGACTCAATTCATTTTAGAATCGGACTTCGTATCACGCTAAACAAGAGCAATTCTAACTCGTATGAATATATATATATATATATATATATATATATATATATATATATATGTCCGGTAGCTGGAGAAAGAAGAAGAAAAAAAGGACGGACCAAGAAATAATTGGAGAGAAATTTTACCTCTTTATTATTAGGTATAGATCTACAAACCCCTGAACTATCAATTTTAGTCCAATTTAACCCCCTCCTGGCTATCATGGCTCCACGTAGGACGGCTTACATGTGCCACATTGGCAAAACAGCCATTTAAACAGACCATGATGCAAAACACAAACGGTTTGAAAGTTAAGGATGGACAAAAGTCTAGTTTTATAGATGAAGATAAATCGTACGACCACGAAAGTTAAGGGGTCAAAGGGAATTTTTCCTAATTTTGAGTATCTATACTGTTAATCCTCAAAATTGAGAGCAGTATTTTCTGAGTTAAAAAAAAGAAGTATCATATCTATGACCTCTAGAAAAACTTACACTCCCTACTCCAAGTTATATATATGTTTTTTTTTACAGAGTGTGATCCTTCTTCTAATCGCATTTCACGCTGAATTTCCATTCTTATTGTCCATGGAATCTTGAAGAATTTCAAGTTTGATCCCCGACCAATCACCTTTCATCATCGGTCATCACCAAATAAAGTTCACCTCCTGCGTCGCTGTCCGTGGAAGCCTTTGAGCCTCCCGTAGAGCATGAGGAGAACAAGGAGCAGCTTCCCCTGGTCGCTCCACCACCCGGAGAAGCTGTACGGCTTGTCATGGCAGGTGGCGGTCGCCTCCGCTGCCGGCAGCAGCCTCGAGCAGCTGTAGCCAGTGGACAGACCCACGTTCCCATAAGCACTGCATCCATGCAGGAATCCATATGTCAGTTTCAGAAGCTCCAGAATCCATATATGGGCTGTGAACTGTGATGTTCGTCGATCGTGCATGTGCACCTCACCTAATCACCTCGAAGATCACGTTGAACGTGGAGAAGTTGAGCGGGTCGCCGGAGATCGATCGCCTCTCGGTGATGCAGGCGAGCATTACCGCTGCGGCGTTGCAGGCCAGCGGTGACAGCAGCATGCTGTTCAGCGACAGTCTCCTCTTCTTCTCTCCATCCTTGCGTTCCGGCTCTCCGGCGCCGCTCCTTTTCTTTTCGCCGCCGTCGTCGTGCACCGACAACAATGTCGCCGACGCGGGGATGCACCTGAAAGTCGTCGGTTGGCATGCAAAATCTGTCAATGATCGAACAATATGCTGTCGCGTATGCTTCAATTTCGCGCGGAGGAGCATGACTGACATCATGGCGAGGAACAGCACCAGCACCGCCGGCGCGACGAGGGAGCAGTCGACGGAGTTCTCCCCGGCCTGCCGCACGTTCACGGCCATGAACACCGCGTTGGTGACCTTCTCGCCGGCGGTGAGCCCCGCGAACACCGCGGAGTTCCAGTTCAGGCAGCAGAGGAGCGCCGCGGCGGCGGCCGCGACGGCGACCACCGTGGCGGCGAGGGACGCCGCCCGCGTGTCGCTCGGCAGCAGGTGGCCGAAGCCCGCCGCCGCGGCGCTGTTCTCCATGTCCATGGGTACGAGCTCCTCGACGGGTCCTCCTCGCCCGGTGAACAAGAACAACACCCTCGCTAGCCCTCTCGTGGCGCTGACCGCCAGCCTGAGGAACACCGGGAGCAGCGTGCTGCCAGCGAGGATCTGTGCCGCCAGAAGCAGGAGCAGGCCACGGTTCGGGGCGAACACCGCCATGCTCTCGTTCGTCGGGAGCAGGCCGCCGTTGGTGATGGACGAGACGGTGGTGGACACCGAGAAGAGCGCGGCGCTGATTCCCTTCCTCGCCAGCACGTCGCGCGCGGTCGGTACGGTGGCGACATACGCGAACACCAGCACAGAGCCGACGACGAGGATCGCGGCCATGTAGGCCGAGACCACGAGCGCTAAGCTTCTGACGACGCGGCAGCTCTCCTTGCGATCACCACCATCGCCGGACGAATCCGCAGACGGAGCTGCTGCCGGACCATTCGCCTCCTCGAGATCCGGCTCGTCGCAGACGGCGACGGCGGCCGCCATGACCCTGCCGTCGTGATTTTGATGGTCGCGCTGCTGCTGTCGTCGCTTGCGCGACGACTCGAGGACGAGGCCGAGCAAGGAGACGAACATCTCGCTGCCGAGGAGCATGAGGAGGGTGAGGACGACGAGCTGGGCGCTCGAGAGGTCCTCCATCTGGACGGTGGCTAGTCCGGTGACGGTGACCGCGGACGTCGACATGAAGAACACGTCGACGTAGCGCGGACGGTACGATCCGGGGCTGCTTGGCCTAAGCAGCACCAAGGCGAGGGAGCCGAGCAGGTCGACGGCGAGGAAGTAGGACAGGTGGAGCAGCAGCGGGGTGAGGTGGAAGGCGATGAGCCGGAAGACGAGCACCGATGAACTGACGGCGTGTCTCGCGGCGCTGGCCAAGACATGGAGCCGAATAGGCATTGGAGATGGTGGTAGAGAAAGGGCAATGGGCAGTGCCTGATGATCTAGCTGATCTTGTTTCAATGGAAAACTACTTACTTTTACTGGTACTAATACATACGGAATTTAGTACAAGTGATTACTGATCTCAATGGGTGTATATAATATAACTATATATACAACTTAGCTTGACAGAGCAGTGATCATATGGAAATGCAACTGTTTCAGCCAGCCCATTGGCTTTAGAGAGCTTAGTGGTGAGGAGGAGGACATGTGTGCAAGTGTAGCATGGCTCAGGCACCTTTCAGAACTTAATGGCAGGCCTGCAGATGGAGCACGCCGTGAGTGAGATGAGATGAGATGCCTGAATACACGCGAAACTACTAGGCACAGCACAGAAAAGACTGGAGAAATTCCAAGCCTTTTGCACATGCGTACAGGCAGCGTACGTGGTGAGCCTTTGCCCAACCGTCTGCCATGGCGCCGAGGGCAACCACGGCCAGATCAGGCAAAGCGGAAAGGCAGGATGGCAGCCGGCTGCTCGTAGAGGGCAGGCGAACCCCAACCACTAGTAACTGAAAGCTTCTGGCGAGTGATACTGATATGATACGCCGGCGTCGATCGCCAGCAAATGAAGCGGTGGCCTATAGCTACTGCGCTAGCTCCAGAGAGGCAGAGACCAGAGCTTGTGATAGCGAGGCTGCCGGAGAGACGCGGCTGCAGGAGCAGGACCATCATCGTCATCTCCGTCTCCATGGACACGTTCGAAGAGCATGCTTAGCTAGGGGTTTGGGGGCAGCGAGCGATGGAGGAATAGATTTCATTCAGTGCCTCCACTTGGTGTCATATGACCGCACGCGAGGCAAGTCCTCTGCATTTGGCGCCAGGTCACAAACGCCCTTTTGCCTTTGAACACGTCTTACTTGCCACTTGCGTCGATGGTGACCTGGCCATGAATCTGATTGCTGGGAGGGTGATTGCTCCGGAGAAGAGCTGCATGCGATCAGATTCATGGCCAGGAACTCGGGAAGAGTTGCGTAGCTGTGGTGGTGGAGGATGCCATGCTCCCAAGGGACGTGTGCAAGGCACCCGTGGACAACCTCGATTCCTTGCCAACAATGGTAGTACACAAGACGACGCATAGTAATTGCGCGCGAGCGCCAACTTATTACAGGGCTATTTGGCAAGCTCTAGCTAACTCCATTAAGGCTAGTTGGATTGAAAAAACTATTTTGTTAAGTACTAATATATCAACCGTGCTCTTCTGTGTAGACTAGAATCTTAAAAGATACTTTTTCCCAAAACAAAAAAGGATCCTAAGAGATATTCCCTCCATTCCAAACATAACGCATTTTGTCTTTTCTAGGTGTAGCTTTTGATGTTGAATATATATATCTGATATATAGTAAAAACAATGTATTTAGAAAAGCCAAAACGTCTTATTATTTGGAATGAGGGGAGTATAAACATTACATATGTTCATGTTAAATACATATGACTAATAAAAAATACTTATATTGCGTTTCCTTTTAGCTTTTGCTGTTTGCTTTTTAGTGATGCACTGTGCCAGCAGCTGCAACGACTTAAATTCATCTCAAGCGAACTCCCCTATCTATTTATGATAAACTTATCAATTACTATATAAAATTTCCATCCATGCCTATATACAGCTTTTTCCATGTCACATGGCACATTATGTGTCTTTAATAAATTTAGTTAAGATCTTAATTTATGATATGGTGAATTTTGTTGCAGATCATGCCTTGTTCATGAACATAGGTTTCGACTTTCAAATTTTGATATTATTACTTGCTATAAAGTTTTAGACTCAATAAAAGTTAAAACTCTTTATGCTTATTGTACATTTTATTTTCACCTCTCATTTTATATTTTATTAAAAATAAGAATTTAGCTTATAGAGTGCACTCTTAACTAGAGTTTGAATTGAGATTGAGAGGAGCAAACTATGCTAACCTAAAGAGAAGATTAATACTAACTATTTACACCAAATGAATCCCAAAGTCCATCCACGTAATTTGCACCTTTGGTTTGCATTAACCTCATCTATTACTAAAGATGTTAGATTTTTCTTATAAAAAATTATAAGTGTGGTTGTATTTTTAATAAAAAAAACTAAGTGTTCACAATTATATTATCAACAATTAGATATGTCATTATATTTCAGCTAAAAAACTTACAAAAATCATTTTCATGGATAATAATATAATTTAAAATAATTTGTTAGTGTCATTAGAATAGGAGTCATTAAGGAACATTTTCCATGATCATTGAAACATTGCTCATTTGTGCAAATATACTTGATCAGTATGACTATTTTATGTATGTTTACCTTAAGTTATTTTTAATAGTAACGGGTAATTTAGAAGCACATATAGACATAATTTATGGTCATCTAAGCATTTTACGTAAAAGCAAATGTCAATAATTTAATGGGATATTTTATTTACCTTTAGTAATGATAAAAGTGGTAATTTAGATGTGATTTTAAGAGTTTACTTAGATTATTTGCAATAATGATAGGATGGCTAGTTTAGATATAAATTAGGAGTTACTTTATATCATGGTTCATATAATGGCACGTACGTGTTCATATAATGGCACGTACGGGTGGCTAACTTAGTTATGAACTTAGGAGCATTACTTTAGGTTGTTTTCATAACGGGTAATTTAGATGCGGATTTAGGGACGTTACTATATGTTATTTTCCATTACAGTAGATGTTTGTAATTTTTTTTGAAACAGAATAGATCCAGTTGACTATATTAGTATTAATGGTGGTGATTAGACTATAACCTAATAGATCACTAGATTTTCCTGATTTTTGTCGGGACATGATTTCTTGAACACATATATAATAAGAGTTAATGCCTCCCTTCGTAAGCCTCTAACTTTTTATGAGAGGTTATTGGCCTCTGACTAACTATTAGTAGTAGTAAGATTTGAGATCACACACACACACACACACACACACGAAGGGAGCTTGAAATGCCATGAGGCTTACTCCATGGACTCGATAACAAGTAGCCCAATAGGCCTTTTTGGCTAGGCCGATATTGGGCTTTCATATTTGGATAACTTTATATATTTAGATTAGAAAAAAAGAAATGCTACACAATGCGCAAGTGTTTTGGCGCTCTCCAGCACCCGATTTTTAGTCCACCGAATCGTTGCCTCGGTTTGTCTGTGTCTGTCAGATCTGCCAAGCCATGTCCCAGGCGGGGCGGCCTTTTAGGTACGCACGCGTGGTCGTGTTAGGTGAGGCCTAGAGAGAGGGAGAGGACGCGAACGCGATGTGGTAGTGGCTGGTCAAGGCGGGCCCAGATACTGCCGCTCGTACAAGTCAAAGTCCAGCCCGATACTGTACTTGGCCTGGGTGTACCAGCGAGAGCGAACGCTCCTGTGGCCGTCCGCCGGCCCCCTCCTCTAGAGTTATTAGTAGATTCTAGTTAGAGTTGCCCTGGTGGGAGAGTCCGTGTCTTGCCGTCGTCCGCGTTGTCGTCGTAGCAGCTGCCGTGGTCTTTCCTGGTTTCTTCCTCGCCGTCGATGTCGTCGACTTCAAGGTCAGTGTTAATAAAATAAATCCTTTCTTCTTCCCCGCGGATCTCCTCTCCACCACTCTCGCTTCCACATCCATCCGTGATCGGCGAGATCCGTCCCCTCCCGATCAGCAACCTTCGACGCACGCATCCCTCTCCGTTCAGCAAGCTCCGGTCCTGGTGCTCCTTTCTTCAGCAAGGCAGCTCCTCCTATGGTGTTGGTTCGACAGCTCCGCCTCCACTTGGGATCCTGGTTCGAGCTTCTTCTTATACCTCTGGCGACGGCTCCATCTGCATCCTTGGGTCGTCGGTGTGCGTTGCCTCCGATGGCTCAACCGTCCCACCTTTAACCGACGCTTTGCGCGGTCAGTCCACCCGGGTGTATACGTCCTTGATGCCCATGTGACCCTCCGCCGGCGCCTTGTCTCCCCATCGCCTTCCCCATCCAGCTGCAGGACTTTGATGTAATCAGGTCTTCTTTTGAGAACCTCTTTGTAAAATGGTTGTTGTTTTAATATAATATATGAGTTGTTGTCAAAAAAAAAAAGGCGGGCCCAGATGGGACCCGACAGCTTCAGCTCCGAATCACAGGAAGCAACGCAGGTGGTCATGGTGGGACCCGTGTGGGGCCCAGCTCGAATCACTTTTTCTTGTCACCGAAGCTTGCGTTGATCACTTCATTAGGAGTCCAAAGTTCACAACTTGGTTGATTAGGAGTCCATAAAAATAATTTGTAAAATATGTTTATTTGAGAACAATTTGACATATATTTTTCTGATATCTGCAATCCATAAAAATAATTTATAAAATATGTTTTGAACAATTTGACATATATTTCTTTGATATATGCAATTCATAAAAATAATCTGTAATTTTTCTGAACAATTTGACATATATTTATCTGAGATTTGCAATTCACACAAATAGAAGTTGTGTTATCCTCAAATTACATCACTTTGTCAAATACATTACAGTGAAGAAATCATTGTAAATATAGTGATAAGACAGTATAAATATAGCTAAAAGACAATGTAAATGCATAGAAAAAAAATCAGGTGCTAGGAGTTTCTAAAACACTCAGTTGTTGGCTAGACACTTCCTATTAATAACATCTAAGTAGGAAGCGACATGAAATCATGTGGCTGGGATGAGCTCTACATTCCAATCACCTAGATTTAAGTTCTCTTCAATTCGAATTGGGGTGTCTTTTTTATTTCTAAGGAAAAGTTATAGTTCATCCTAGTTTGATCTCATTTTTTCTTAACATCTCTAAGTCAAATTAATACTAACTTGATCTTGTAGATGTACTCTATAAATTTGGTCAAAACTAGAGAAGTTTGACTTGCTAAAAAGAAAATATTTTTTCATTGCTTTTGTGGAACGTTAAGGAGCACTTTTATTTTGTAAAACATGTTGGCATGTTGCGACGTCAAACCTGAACTTTCACGGAGCACAGTAATGACG